TCCACTTCTACTGATCACATATTTTTAATTGAAGCATCCCTCGCCCCAACCTGATCTAAAAATAACCAACGTTTGCCCCCCCCAGGAGAAGTAACAGAAAAGACACTGTGGTAGGCATCAATGCAGAGTGCAAGGTCACATGACATGACTGCACTCAGCAATTCAGAAAAAAGAGTGCACCTTGTGTTTTTATAGAAACAATGATGTACAGTAAATCAACAGCTGGGTGAGAAAGACATCCATCTGTGTCCATGGTAACGGCAGAGGCCTTCATACACTGAGAACAGAGTATGAAGGATTCTGCAGACACTGTTACAACACGGCTGCTAGCGTCTGCATGTAGAGAGACTAGACATTTTAGACAGAAGTCAGAGGAGAAGGAGAAAAAAGAACAGAGAGAGAGAGAGAGAGAGAGAGAGAGACAGAGAGAGAGAGAGAGAGAGAGAGAGAGAGAGAGAGAGAGAGAGAGAGAGAGAGAGAGAGAGAGAGAGGGGGGGAAAGAAAAGACAGAGAGGAGAGAGAGGGAGGGCGAGAGGAGAGAGAACAGAGAGAGAGAGAGAGAGACAGAGAGAGAGAGAGAGGGAGAGAGAGAAGAGAGAGAGAGAAGAGAGAGAGAGAGGGGAGAGAGAGAGAGAGAGAGACAGAGAGAGAGAGAGAGAGAGAGAGAGAGAGAGAGAGAGGAGGTGAAAAACAGATGTGATCTCCACAGTGATCCCTGTTCCTCCTGCTGGGAGTCAAAGCTTGCAGAGGGAGGATGCCTCGCTATCACAGCTACACCACACTGAGCTGTAGGTGTGTGTGTGTGTGTGTGTGTGTATGCGTGCGTGTGTGTGTGTGCGTGTGTGTGAGACCTGATGCTGGTTTTACAGACAGTTAGGACAAGATGTCACAACAGTCTAATAGAAACACAGAGCTGCAGCAAGAGAGGAAGACGAGGGAGGGGAGAAGAGACAGACGAGGAAACGAAGAGCAGAGGGATGAAGAGAAAGACAGAGAGAGAGAGAGAGAGAGAGAGAGAGAGAGAGAAGGAATCAGGGAGTGGAGAACAGAGGAGGCGGAGGAAAGTGAGTAGGCGATGGCACATGATGAATTTTGCTCATTCTCTAGCCAACGTTTCTCCCTCATCTCCTCAGAGGGCTGACCTATTCGTCAGACAGACCTCCGGACAGGCTGCAGAGAAACAAGCTGGTGTGTGTGTGTGTGTGTGTGCGTGTGTGTGTGTGTGTGTGTGTGTGCGTGTGTGTGAGAGTCCATTGCCAAGACATGAACCATTTGACCCACTTCCCTGGGTCTGAGCTGTGTGCTGGGCGTTTGTGTGCGTGTCTGCTTGATTACTGTGGTGCTGTGTTACAGCTGCCCGCTCAAGTGAAACTGCTCTGCTACTTTCTACAGGCTTCACAGAAGGGAAAAAAGAAAAAAAAGAAAGGGAAAAAGAAAGAAATAAAGGGAGGGGGGGTAAAAACAAATCAACAATGAGAGCAGCCAGCTGGTGTCTGCAGGGAGCGCACAGTTTGATGGATTCCTGAGCGCTGCAGAGGGGGGACTGTGATTAGATATAAATGACTGGGGAGTGTGCTGACCATGCAGCACACACGCAGCGCACACACACACACACACACACACACACACACACACACACACACACACACGCTGTCAAACAGAAACTAGTGCACATGTGTGATCATAAATGGTGGCAATGAAGAGAGATGGTGTTAGAAAAGCTACAACGAAAAACTTTAATTTCAGAGATGTCTGTGATCCGTCAGATTTTCCGTGACTCAGAACAGAGCCGGGCGTCCAGTCACTAACCAGTCATCACACAGAAACCAGTATGATGACTGGTCAGCACTGAGGTGATCACACTGAGTCAAAGCTGGAATAAAGTGGTGAAGGAGTGTCCCTCCTCACTTATAGCAACGTAGCTAACCATGCTTACTGCTCCTAAAAGATGCTAACTATGCTACCTGTTCTGAAAAGTTGCTAACTAGCTACCGGTTCTGACCCGTCTGCTAGTCTCTGGTTCTGGTCTCAGACTCCTCCTCTGAGTCTGGGTCTGACTGAGGCTCAAACATGTGGCTGAGTCTCTCTGATGTTTCCTCCTCTCACCATCTTGATGCTCTCTGCTCTCTCACCTGTCCACCTGGAGCCAGCAGGTGGTGGGCGGGGCATGAGGCCTGATCCTGCTGACAAACGGGTAAAACAAAAAAAAGCCTCCTTGATGGAGCTAATTCACACAAACCCCTCCAAACTAATATCTGACATTCACATTTCCTAACAGCAGCTACAGCTGGTAACATTAGAGGGATTATTAGACCCAGTGGAATTAAACATGTCCACACCGAGTCAGACAGAACCGACTGACTCAGCTCCTTTTTTTTTTTAAACCCTCAAAATATCAGAATCCGCATCCGCCTTAAAATCCCTCCATCTCTAACTCTAACTCATGCTGCTACAGTGAAGAGCCTCCCTGCAGACTGTATTATAATAACAAGTCTTGTCACTGATCTGTATTAATGTCTGTGCGATCACACCACCAGATCTGATCAACAGTCCCAGCGGTAGTAAAACTCTACATTATCATTATTATTATTATTATTATTTATATTTGCAGAAACAGAACAGAAAAACTAACGTAAACATCTGTATGAGAAGAGCTAAATCATGTGTCATGTACTGAGACGCCAAACGAGAGACAGCGGAGAGAGGAGGAGGCGCTGAACCTTTAAACCAAGTTCAGCTTTGAAAGAACAGAAAGAGATTCGTCCATTTCCTGAGTGTGTTTACATTTCACTGTGACCGTGTCTCAGGACGTGAAGACTCCAGTGTGTTCAGGAGACGTTCAAATCTCTGCATCGTTTCCAGGTTTTATCTTCTGTGGACAGAACCTGAGCATCAAAGGAGGAAAATCTACCCGCAGTGAAAACCAAACAACCCACACCGCTCTCTCTCTCTCCCTCTCTCCCTCTCTCTCTCTTTGTTCTTTCTTAAACCTCCTCGTCCCCCTCCTGTTTCCTCGGGCTCTGACAGCGAGGATCAGGTTCACTGCTGCTGCAGGCGTGAGCGTGCACGTGTATACGTACGTCTGTTTGGTGAGTTAGTGTCTCTGACTTCACCTCTGCATTAAACACAATCACAGAATCAAAACAAGCTTCATGTCTGCTCTGTAGGATCTGAAGGAAACGCCCTGACACGCTTGTCCTGCTGGATTACCCTCGACCGGTGAGAGAGCACAGGTAAAGCTCCTCTAATTATCTCCGGCTCCCAGCTGATCATCGAAGGTTCTCCACCTTTTTTATTTTTATTTTTTAATTTACTGTCAACACATTCTCAACACACGACGTTACTCAGCTGTTCCTGCAGTCTGTAAATGTCACAGCTGATATGAAAATAGAGAATGAGACACTGTGTGTGCAGGTCGCTCTGTTCCTGTATGGGGAGATTAACTTCTTCTGCTTTCCTAATGTCAGAACATTTACTACTACTATTTCACATCCATCCATCTTCTGCACTTATTGTGTTCACGATGTTGGACACTGATGTATAGCATTAGCATTTGGTAGGAAGCGAGGGCTTGTTTGTTACGGGGCTGTCACTTTAAGAGCTGCAACAATTAGTCGATTTTCAGAAAATTAACCTGCAGCTATTTTGATAATCGATCAATCGTTTTCAGAGTTCATCTGATCTCCTGCAGCCGAGGCGTTTAAGTGCTCGGACATGTTCCAGTGTAAGAGCTGTTGGCGGTGCGTTCATGGTCCAGAAAAGACAGATGAAAACACGGGAGGAGAGATGTGCAGCGCAGCCACTCAGATGACAACATTTAGATGATGTCATCGCTTTAAATTACGTTACACGTTGATATAGTCACAGTTGGTGTTTAATGCGTTGTTACATAAACTGAACATCAGTGTGTGGTGGAGAACTTTCTTCTGTTTCAACAGTCAAAACCTAAATCTTCCTTTGCTGGGGCGAAGAGAGTGAAGCATTGTGGGTATATTTCTTTCTAAAAGTACCTGCTGGATGTGAGGGCTGTAGTAAACCGGCTGCGCTCTCTATCAGAGTCCTGCCCTCCTCTCCATCTATCTCCATCCTGCTCTGTTCATCTAGTAGTTTCAGTCTTATCGCCCCCCCCCCACCCTCCAAATATCTTTAATTCAATCTCCCCTCCTCTCTTGTTCTCTCCCTCCCTCCCTCCCTCCCTCCCTCCCCCCGCTGCTGCTTCAGCCACAGTCAGATATCTGATCAGACCTCTGCCTGGCTCCTCTGGATGAAGCCCAGCAGACTGACTCTGGATCAGCGACACGCGGCACCTGTGTAATTAAACTCAGGGAAAATAGAAAGCTGAGCAGATAAGTGCTGCTGCTTTCTGACCTGCTTTTACATTTTTACATCACTTTAATAGTCTGCACATATCATCACGAGTTAATGCTCGACCTCTGACCTCTGTCATGTCTCCTCTGCTGATCATCGTATCATATTATTATCTACTTATATCTCCAACTGTTATTCTCACTGGAGCTTGTTTTTATTTTATTATTTGTCTGATTGCAACTGCTGATTATTTCCTTCTCTTTGCCTCAGTCGTTACGTCAGTTGTTTGGTTTGTATCGTCTCTCCTGAGGAGTATTTAGTCTGAGTCATTAACAATACAGTTCCAGTAAGTATGACGAGTCTGTCCTCTGCAGACACCGTGTTATATTCTATTAAAACTCATTGTGTTGTGTCAGCGTCACCCAGGAAACTCCCGAGTGTGGCGGAGAGCAGCTGGGAGAATGAGAAGTAGAGCGGAAGTGTGGAAATGAAACAAAACAATAAAAAAAAATAAAAATAAAACCTGGTTACACATGAACAAAGAGGAACACCTGACCTCTCCTCTGCACTTCATCTGGTAGCGTTTGACAGAGTGGGATGAATAAAGAGCCGTCGAAAAAAGCAATTATCTTCAGTCGTATTCAAGAGCAGAGGAAGCAGACACAGCAGCGAGACACTGAGAGCTTTCTTACCCTCTGTGCTGAGTCCTGGACTGGAGGTGAACTGGGCCACGTCCACGATTTTGACAGCGAACTGCTGCCCCGTCTCTCTGTTGATGCATCTCCGCACCACGCTGAAGGGGCCCCTGAACACAGCACAGAGAGAAACACACACATTTAACCACCGGCACGTGGTACAGAACATGTTCTTACCAAACACAGCTCCACCAGCTCCACNAACACAGCACAGAGAGAAACACACACATTTAACCACCGGCCCGTTGTACAGAACATGTACAGGGAGGAAATATAAACTCACAGAATATATATCATCGTATTGTTTTATGTGTTTTAAAGACACTGCAAACCGCTTTAGGCTATGATGTTGTTACATGCCATTGGTTCATGCTGCAGGTCCGTCCCTATACAAATAAATATGACACAACATCGACTTATAGAGTTAACATGTTAAAACCTGTGAGCAAACAGCTGTTTATTGACACGAGTCCAGTATTCACTGTGCTCTGAGCTCCGGAGGGAAATATCTGCCTCCTCAGCAGCTGTGAGCAGGTGACACGTAGTCAGGTGTTCTGCAGTCGAAGCGACACTGAGCCGGAGCAAAGTGAAACCAAAACAATGAACTTAAAGACACTGATTATAGCAGCTTCCAAGTGAGAAAGAAAGGCTGAAACTGAGTCCACACAAGCTGAAAACAGGATCTAAATATTAATGAGGATTTCAAATCCTGACACTTGGGCTGGGAGACTAATTCAATTGATTTGATTAATACAATGCCTACGTCATGGCAGTCGAGTTGAGATGTCAAATGATAGCTGGCTGCACTTCTACTCTTGCTCAACTTTAATGCACATTCAGACTCAAACTAAATTTGGGCTCTAGTGCCGAGGGTTTAAGGCACTCGCTTCCTGTTCTTGTTTCCGGTCATCTCTCCACGATCCTCTTTCAAACTGAGACACACCACGACCGAAAAACACAAGAAGAAGTCGACAAAATCACAAAGAATGATCGAAGTGATTCACAGCAGTTAGGAGGAGGTGAACACAGTCCGTTCTCTCCATGTAACTAAAACATCACAGACAACCACAGAAATCCAGCAGGTGATCATTTTGAATCACGGCTCATCCCTGACTGAAACTGAAGTAAATAAAGTCAGTATACCCTCTCTCTCTCTCTCTCTCTCTCTCTAACTACAACTTCTCCTCCTCCTACTTGATGCTTCAAAGTCGTGTTAAAATGCCAGCAGCCCAACAGACATAAAGAAACAAGATCACACAGCTGCTTGTTCTCCGCACATGCAGAGAAGGCAGAGCTGCTCTCACACTGAATCATGCCTCCCGTGGAGAGAGTGTATCATCAGAGTATCAATAGGATACACAGAGGTCCAGCACCCAGGGGCTGCGGGTTAGAGTTAACAAGCAGCAGGTCGGGGCCGCGGAGCGCTGCAGCAGGAGGATCCCTCCTAAATAAAGCTGCACTCTCAACACTGAGGTAATGGGCTTGAACTGACCTGCGCACACCGGGGAATAACACACTGCGCCTCGATACGTGTGTGTGTGTGTGTGTGAGAAAGTTAAACGTGTTGGGAAGATGAGGTTTAGTGGCACGCAGGGGGAGTGGAGGAGGGAGGGAGCGAGGGAGGGAGGGGGAGTGGGGGAGACGAATGGAGCAGTGGTTGTTGTATAAGAATAGAAACAGAGGCAGCAAACACTTAATCCCATCCACCCACCTCCTCCACCTGCTGGTTCCTGGAAGGAAACGCCCTGACGGACAGGTCAGCACACACTCACTGTGATGTGACAGATTAATGTTCAGAGGAGCTGGAGCTCGTTTAGCCCTCATTAAGTTATTTGTGGAAGTTAATGACGAGCTTTAAGGATCTGGATTATTACGCCAAGAGATGATCAGAGTATTTGTGTGGTGAACACCAGACAAGTGTACGGCTGCGTATCATCAGAAATGTTCTGATACTTTATATTAGATCATATTAGATCATATCATTATATTATATCATATATCATATTATATTAATAATATCACATTATTTATGTGAGTTTGACACTTGAAGACTTTTTCTTATATGTTTATAGATTCTGCTAAATTGATGCATGATAACGACATGTTTTTTATTTATGTTAAAATGTGAATAATTTATGATTTTCAAGCCATTTGTGTTATTGTCTTGAAATCATTGAATGGCCTTTGTGCCCTGAAACTTGCTTCACATGTAGGCTCCACCTTCTCTTGTAATAACATGCATGTTTTAGCCAACTGAGCCGAGCTGATGGTTTGTGAGGTGGTCTGGGGTGGAGTCAGAGTCAGAGTCAGAGTCTGGCCTGAATGATTGTTGTTTTATACCTAGTGCAGGTTTGTTTTTCTACTATTCTGGATCAACTGTTTTAAACATGTTGGCCAAAAAAAAAACATACACGTCATGTTTTTAGTTGTTTTGCATTTGCCAAATATTTGATGCACAGTTTTATAAGTGTGAGATGTGTTTACAATTTATCCTGTAATTTGCATTTTATATATGTGATCATTTCAAGGAAACAACGTGCTGCTAATTTGATAAATGAAGAACGCTGGTTTTTTTGCCACACACACACACACACACACACACACACACACACACACACACACACACACACACACACACACACACACAGGAAAACCCTGGTCATAGTTTTGCTGCATGAGTCTATGAAGTGAGTGAATAAAAAGGATTATGTCACAGAGAGTATACAGCTCTTTTACCTCCCTGTGTTTCAGTTGCTTTTCATCTCTCTCAAGCTCTTGCTCCTGTCCTATGGGTGAACTGGGAAACACTGCAGTCAGCTGGGTTCACCAGTGGGGCACCTTTTAACTAACACACATACACACACACACACACACACACACGCACACACACACACACACACACACGCACACACACACACACACACACACGCACACACACACACACACACACACGCACACACACACACACACACACACGCACACACACACACACACACACACGCACACACACACACACACACACACGCACACACACACACACACACACACGCACACACACACACACACACACACGCACACAGCAAACCAAACCTCCGACAAAGACGCACAAACACAGACACAACCTGCAGCCTTCTGTGAATTACCCGTCCCACAGCAAATTACACTCGGCACAACCTCGGTGGAGAAGTGAAAGCACCGATTTCACAGCTCCACACAAACACCACCCCTGGCTGCGGCAGACGGCGCAACACCAACCGGCTGGGGTTTGAACACAAGCCGTGCTGCAAGTGTGTGTGTGTGTGTGTGTGTGTGTGTGTGTGTGTGTGTGTGTGTGTGTGTGTGTGAGGCGTCTTTGTGCACAAACACAGACTGGTTGAGCAGATGGTGATCAAGCTAAAGCTGCTTAGCGTCAGAAGGGTGAGGTAGGACGGCACCGTGCCCAAACATGAAGACACACACACACACACACACACACACACGGTATAAACATAGATCAAACTACAGACTGAAATAAACACTATGAGCAGAGTTGCTGAGTAAACTGTCGCTTTCACCAGAGGGATTGTATAGTGTTTGTCTGCAGTGTGTGTGTGTGTGTGTGTGTGTGTGTGTGTGTGTGTGTGTGTGTGTGTGTGTGTGTGTGTGTGAGAGAGAGAGAGAGAGAGTGAGATAGGGCTACACACACACACACATACACACACACAAGCAAACACAGGCCACTGGGTCACCAGTTTAATGAGCAGAAACATTCCTCAGTTTCCCCACTTCACCATCACATGATTTACACACATTTATTTCACAGGCTGCAAATGAACCACGACACTCACACACACACACACACTGATTGAGACGGCAAATTCCATATGAACCTGTCGAATACATCTGTTCCTGCATCGGCTCATCCACTCATCCATTGATAAGTGATTGGCTGATTAGGCCACAAACAAACATGGCTTCCTCTCCGTCAGCTCACTTATTAAAGGAACTCTCTGTTGCGCTGAGTGAAAGATGCTGATGTAGATTTTACAGACTTTATCTCCCTGCGCAGAGACCGGAGAGGAATGAAAGAGACGAGGATGATAGCTTTCTTCCAGCTCGTTGTGAAGCCCGTTCCGACTGTGAGGATCTTTGGGGAAATCTCCAGCTCCAGCTGAAAAGACAACACCCGCTTGCAAACAATGAATTGGTCAATTTCAGGAAGTCGGCGCTCGGAGCCAAATGAAGAGTCTATCAGAGCGCGAGCTCAGACTCCAGCAGGAATACGCTTCAACCTAAACTTTGTTGGAGCGGGAACATCGGGTCAAAGAGGCTCTCATTAGTAATGCAGTCGAGTCCTCCTCTGCTGCCTTATCTGCCTCCATGCTACAGTCCAGTCACTTCACCTCTGTACCCCCCCCCCCTTTGCAGTGCAGCAAATGTCAGGACTTGCTCAAGGCTGCGCTCTGTACAGCAGCAAACAGGAGGCCCTGGAGGAGCGGAGGGAGGACGGAGGAGAGGCGGGAAGAAATACTGAATGCACAGAATACTGGGAAATAAAAGAAGAAAAGGTGCAAACATGAAAGTACAGAGCTGATGAGACCAGGGGAAGCAGGAGGTTGGCAGGTCTGAGCAAAGAGCTAATAAATATCAATAATGACATCGATGGACCTTTAGAGTACAAGAACTTGAATGTTCCCCAGAAATGAATCGATAAGTCGACTGTCAGATCAATCGCTTGACGTTTTTAAAGCACAAATGACAAAAAAAAGCCTCAAATACCAAGATTTTCTGTGTTTAGTTTTTTTGCTAATTGAATACATGACTGTCTCGTGACTGCCCCCTGGTGGCGCGTGTTTTACACCACAGTTCCTCACATTAACCGAGCGTCTGTGTCACTTTAATAGAAAAAGGTGGATTTCTAAATACCATGATATACTTTTATACTGTGATAGAGCGTAGTGTGTGTGTGTGTGTGCGTGTGTGTGTGTGTGTGTGTGTGTGTGGCATGTGTTGAGCAAAGAGGTACTCTGCAGCAGATGAGAGGCTTATTCACAGCAGCCTGGGCAAGCATTAAGAAAAAGGTTTAAGAGGCACAATCTCCCGCACACATCAGCCTCGCAATACTGCCGAG